CCGTCGGTCTTTGAGGGCCGGGCGGCGGGCGGCGGGCGGCGGGCGGGCGGGCGAGGGTGCGACACTCCCGGGAGGACTAAAAAGAGAGGGGCGCGCTCCCGCACGGGATCGAACCGCGGACCTTGGGATTAACAGTCCCACGCTCTACCTACTGAGCCACAGGAGCACACCGAGGGGCCCCCAACGCGGCCTGATGTTCGTTGGCGGCGGGCGTGCGCGCGCGCCCTCGGGCTCGTTGCGGCGTCAGGGCAACAACGCCCGTGCTGGGCACGCGCGCGCGTGCGCCCACGGCCGGCGGTCGCCCCTGCCCCCCGGCCCTCCGGCGCATCGGCGCATCGGCCGCCGGCGCGAGGCCAGCCAGGCTGGCCAGACACTCAGACGGCCAGCAGGACGCGCCAGCCCCGCCCCACACCGCGGAGGTCTCTCTCTCTCTCTCTCTCTCGCTCTCTCTTTCTCGCTCTCTCTTTCTCGCATCCCTCCCCCCCACCCCGCCAGACACACATACACACATGCTCGCCAGCGGGAGGCAGGGCGCAGGCATTCGCAAAGGCCAGAAGGGGGTGCATTGGTTGGGTGCCCCGACACACAAGGCGACACCGCATGCAGGGGAACACCCGGCAGAAAGACAGGAAGATGGAAAAAGACGGGAAGAGGGAAAAAGACAGGAAAAAAAAAAGGAGAAAGACAGGGAGACGGCGGGGGAGCGGGCAGCACACGGCCCCTCACTCGGCGGCAACATCCACCAGGAGGGCGCGGTTGGTGAAGAAGTCCGGCTGGTTCTTGGTGGAAATGATCTGCACCTTCTCCGGGTAGGGGTAGCCCTCGGGCTTGACGTGCTCCCGGCGGGGGGCATTGCCCCGGCCGCTGGAATAGTCGTAGGAGTAGGGGTTGCGGAAGTGCCGGTTGGAGGGCAGCATCTCCAGGTGCTGCATGGTGCGGTCGGCCACGGCGAAGAGGGTCTCGCGCACGCGGGCCGCGCTCAGCACCCCGCGCGGGACCGGGCTGCCCGGGTGGCCGGCCGGCGCGCGCGACAGCAGCACCATCAGGTCCAGCAGCGGGACAAAGCACCGGGCCGAGTTGGTGACATACTGCGGCCCGGCCGGGGTGGCCACGGCGGCCGGCAGCGGGCCCTGCACCGGGGACCGGGGCAGGGCCGGCTTCGCCGCCGGCGCCACGACCCCCAGCGCCCGGGTCAGGGCCCCGCAGGCCAGGGCCTCCGGGTGGAACACCTCGCTGGAGGAGTCCGACGCGCCGAGCAGCTCCCGGTGCAGGATGAACACCTGGTCGGCGGCCGACAGGCCGAAGGCATTCTCCCCGAGGGCCGCCCGGCGCAGGAGGGCCCAGTCGAAGCGGGCATCGGCCTCGGGCGAGGCCGGGGCCTGGTGGTGGTCGTCGTCGCCGGCCGTCGCCGTCGCCGCCGCCGCCGCCGCCGCCCGGCGCTCCAGCAGCTCGAAGAAGTCCCCAGCCAGCCGGGCCAGGGCGTCCTCCTGGTCGGCGGCCGACAGGTGGTGGCCGGCCGCGGCCGCGGCCAGCGGCGCGGCCCCGAAGCGCGCCAGTGCCAGGTCCAGCACGATGTCCACCGCCAGGAGCAGATGCCCGGCACGCAGGGCCAGCTGCAGGGCCCCATCCCCGGCGGCCGACTGCCGGTCCGGGTGCAGGAGCTCCGCCCGGGCCAGCAGCAGCCGCGCCGGGGACACCGGCATCGGCTCGGCCGCCGACCCGGCATCGGCATCGGCACCGGCACCGGCATCGGCACGAGCCAAGGCCATGGCCATCTCCCCGAGCACGGCATGGGCGTCCTCCTGCGCGGCCAGGTGCACCGGGGTCAGGCCGGCCAGCAGGCAGCGGCGGTCGAAGAGGGCCTCGCGCAGGCGCTGGCCCGGGCTGCCGCCGGCCGGGCCGGCCCCGCCGGCAATGGCCTCCAGCAGCAGCCGCACGGCCACCGGCTGGTGCTGGTGCGCGGCGAAGTGCAGCGGCGTCCAGCCGGTCACCGGGTCGGCCGCCAGCGGGTCGGCCGCGAAGTCCCGGAGCAGGGCCTCCGTGGCCCGGGCATGGCCCAATGCCGCGGCCATGGCCAACGGCGCCTGGGCCACCTGCCGAGTGGACACCGGCCGCGTCGGCACCTCCACATGCTGCCAGTACAGCGGCCGGGTCTGGTGCAGGACGCTGTTCGGGGCCAGGTCCGTGCCGCTGTACCAGCCGACGGCCCCGAGGTCGGCCACCTGCCCCGGGGTCAGGCCATAGGCCGGGTCATCGGCCAGGATGCCCCGCAGGGTGTGCAGGCCCGGCCCATTGTCCGCCATGGCCAGGGCCGCCGGGGCCGTCATGTACTGGGTGAAGTTGCCGGGCGACGTGTTGGCATAGTACCCATGCCGGCACATGGGCGGCACCTTGAGCACGGTGTCCAGGCGGAAGAGCGACCGGAGCAGCGGCTCCGGCTCGAAGAACATCTCCCGGGCCAGGCCACGCAGGACACTGCGCTCGGAGGCCGGGACCAGGAGCGCCGCGGCCGCCGGGTCGGCCAGGGCCCGGGCGCAAGCCTGGCCCACCGGCACGCGCGACACCGCCCGATGCCAGAAGTCCAGGAAGGCCTGCCGCGGGGCCGGGTCACAGGCCAGCCACCGGGCCAGGTCCACATGCCCGGCCAGCAGGGCCCGCACCGGCGGCGCGATGAACCCCAACGGATGGTGGAAGTCGCCCAGGCGCGACACCAGGGTCCCCTCCTCGGTGGCGGAGCTCCCGGCATCGGTGAAGCTGCTCGGGCCACCGGTCAGCTGCACCAGCATGCTCATGTTGGGGCCGGAGCTCCGGAGCCCCTCGCCGCCGGCCGCCCGCGGCGCAAAGAGCCCGGTCTCCGTGTGCCGGGTGAGCACCGTGTGCCGGCGGGTGCTGGCCGTCGGCAGGTCCGCCGGCAGCGGCACCATCGACAGGTGCAACCCGCCGCCAAAGCGCCGGAGCATGGTCAGCAGCAGCGACCGCGGCAGCCCCATGGCAATGGCCATGTCCAGCGGCAGGGCCACCGGCTGCCGGTACCCGCGCCACATGTTGGCCATCATGCGCTCGCCCAGCTGGAAGAGCGGCGCCTGGAAGGCGGCATGGCCTTGGGCCGCCGCGGCCAGGGTGGCCAGCCGCACGGCATAATCGTCCACCAGCTGCAGGCCATTGAGCAATGCCAGCAGCAGGGCCAGGGCCTGCGACTCGTCGCCCAGCCCGGCCGCCTGGAAGAGGACCATGTGCATCAGCGTCAGCGGCACCACATGCGACGGCCGCGGGTCCATGCCGGTGCTGGCGCTCAGGTGCCGGCCGCGCAGGAACTGCTGCACATGGCCGTCCAGGCGCGGGTCCTCGGCCCGGCGCCCATCCAGCAGGCAGTCCCGCATGTCCGGCAGGCCGGCGGAATCCGCCGGGTGCAGGCGCCGGTTGGCCCCGCGCTGGTAGTACCAATTGTAGTAGTGGTGCCGGGCATGGGGGATCAGGTCGTCGGCCAGGCGCAGCACCGCCGCCAGCTGGGCATCCGTGTGCCCGGCCCGGCGGTGCGTCACCAGGCACATGCCCTCCACATTGTCCAGCAGCTCCACCGGGTGCACCGGGCAGTAGGGCAGGTGGCCCTTGGCCGGGCGCTTGCCGGGGCCGGGGCCGGGGCCGGCCGCCGGCTCGCCGCCGGCCGAGTCGCGCATGGACCGCTGGGCCGCCCGGTTGGCCAGGGCCGCGCGGCTGAAGGCCTGCCGCGCGGCCTCGGCCTTGGTCAGGGCCGCCGGCGCCGCCAGCAGGTCCTGCTGCGCCAGCAGCGCCGCCTCCAGGTCCAGGAAGATGGAGTCCTCGTTGTCGGCCGAGTCGCTGTCGCCGTAGGAGTCCGACTCGTCGGCGTCATCGCTGTCGAAGAGGTCCCCATCGCTGTCGTACCGGCTGCCGCCGGCGGATGCCAGCAGGGCCAGGTTGTTGACGCGCGAGCTGCGCCCGGCGCCGGGGTCCACCGCGCCGGACCGGAGCAGCTGCACCGCCGCCTTGCTCACATGCGGCCGGTACTGCTGGGCCAGGCGCCGCAGCAGCAGCCCCAGCATCGGGGCCGGGTCCGCCAGGTGGCACACCGCCAGCATCAGCGGGTTGCTCATGACCGAGTCCACCAAGTGGCAGTGGACCAGGGCCACCCGGTCGCCATGGCGCTTGCTGTCGGTCAGGTCCGCCACCCGGGGCAGGTCCCCGGCCAGCACCGCCTCGAAGAAGCCCCGGTAGATGGCCTCCATGTGCTCGCCGCGCACGATCCGATCGCCGGCCTTGAACGCCAGCCGCAGCGGCGCCACATCGGCCCGGGCCGTGGGGTACTTGAAGGCCACCGGGGGCGCGCTGCCGGGCGAGGGGGAGCCGGCCTCGTCGGCCGCCGCGCTGGCCGCCGTGCTGGCCGCCGCGCTGGCCTCCTCCTGGCTGCCGGGGGCCTGGCACGTGGTGGCCAGGTGCTCGGCCCCCATGTCGGCCAGCGCCCCGGCAAAGGTGGCCAGCAGCGGCTGCTCGGCCAGCTCGGCCTCCAGGCCGGACCGGGCCCGGATCTCGGCCAGCAGCCGCGGCCCGGTGAGGTCCGCCAGCAGGACGTCCACCAGGCCGGCCGGCGCGAAGTTGGCCAGGTTGGCCTGGTGGAATTGGGTGGCCGTGGACACGGCCAGCACCGCCGGGTCGTCGAAGCCGCCCTGGTGCACGCGCTTGCGCTGGCCCGGGGCAAACTGCACCTTGAAGGTGGCGCTCAGGCCGAAGCGCCCGGTCAGCAGGGCCAGCAGCCGGCCCATGCGCCGCATGGTGTCGATGAACACATGCGCGCGCAGGTCCGCCAGGTTCTCCAGCGTGTCGTTGATCAGGTCGGCCACGGCAATGCGCAGGACCGACTGGCGGTCCAGCTGGCTGCTGCCGGCAGCCGCATGGTCGCCCGGGGCCCCGCCCGCCAGGAGCATGTCCTCCTCGTCCAGGGCCAGGCCCAGGGAGTAGTTCAGACGGCGCAGGTCGGTCTTCCGGAGGACGGCCGCCATGTGGCTGGACCCCGGCCCGGCGGCGGCGGCGGCGGCGGCGGCCCCCGGCTCCGACCCGGCCAGGGCGTCAAGCCGGGCAATCTCCCGCAGGAGCTCGCGCCGCTGGCGCAGGACCACATTCACATGGTCGCTGGACTGGTGGAAGGGCACCAGCACCGGGCGGCCGAACTTGCTGTCCGGGTTCCGGGTCTCCCGGTCCACGCGGTCCCGCAGGCGGATGGCATTGCGCAGGATGAACACCGCGTCATCCGAATCCAGCAGGTGCTCCGGCGGCATGTGCAGGCCGGTGACATCGCCGGCCGCCCGCCAGAGACCCGCATCCGGGGCCTGGTAGGCCGGGAAGAAGCGCCGGTTCTCCAAGTCCGCCAGATGCAGGTCCAGGTCGGCGTCCGGGTCGGTGGCGGTCGGCACGACGCCGGTCACCTGGGCAAAGGCCCGCTCCAGGCTGGCACGCATGCCGGCCGCCAGGGCCCCGACCAGGCGCTGGATGTGGTCCACCTCCAGGCCGGCCGTGTTGACGACCACCTGGTCCGGGCCGTCGGCCGGCAGCTCCAGCTCCTCATCCGAGTAGATGCTGTTCACCAGGATCATCATGTCGGGGGCCACCTCGCGGAAGGCCGCCAGCAGGGCCGGGTTGCCGGCATTCTGCCGCACGATGTCGGCCGCGGCCACGATCAGGAAGTCCAGCGGGTTGAAGTTGGTCCGCTGGCAGTCGTCGTAGTTGGCGAATTCCGCGGGGAAGGTCTGCCTGTGTGGCGAGAGGCGGCGGGACGAGGCGCACTTGTGTCAGCGAAGGGTCCGACCATGCGCTGGGCCAGGGGGGGGGGGGGGGGCTGCGCGCGCGGCGAATGCCGGACGCGACGGGAGGCAAGCAAAAGGCCGAGACAACAGCGGCAGGGGTAATGGGAGAGGCGGGGGCAGTGGGAGAGGCAGCGGCAGCGGCACTAATACCAGCACCGACACCCACACCGACACCCACACCGACACCCACACCAATATCAACACCCACACCCACACCCACACCCACACCCACACAGGCAAGGAAAGCACCGGACAGAGGGACACGTACTGGATCTTCTTCGACGACATATAGTAGTCCGCCGGCTGCATGGCAGCCATCAGGGCCTCCACCACATCCGGCAGGTTGGCCTCCAGGGCCGCGTGCAGCGGCTGCCCGACGTTCGTCAGGTCGCGGTACGCCCGCTCGCTGACATACCCGCCGATGCGCCGGCCCAGCGACTGGTACAGGTCATACGAGGCGGTCAGGTGGGACAGGCGCACGCACACCGGCGTGCCGAGGGCCAGCAGCGCGCGCACCGTGTCCAGGGTGAGGGCCTCGCGCGCGGCGCGGCTCAGCCCGTCCCGCAGCAGGGCCGGCACCGACCGGCGGCCACGCCCACTCGGGGCCACCATGTACCCGATGCGGATGGCCAGCCCCAGGGGGTTCAGCTGCTGGGTGTTGACATGGGCCAGCAGCGGGGCCAGCTGCTCGTCCGTGAAGCAGGGCCGCACGAAGTCCCGCAGCAGGTCCGCCCGCAGGCGCATGGCATACAGCCCCAGGACATTGACCTGCGACGAGACCAGCAGGTCGCACAGGGAGGCCGGCTCGCGCGCGGCCGCCGTCACGGTGGCGGCCTGCTCGGCCGGCAGCACCCGCGCCAGGGCCCCCGGCGCCAGGTCCCCCGGCGGGGCCACCAGCAGCCGGGCGATGGCCACCGCGGTGGCCGTGTCCTCGATGAAGGCCACCAGCATCAGGGGGGTCAGCCCATCGCGATCGTTGTCGCGCAGGGCCAGGCACGGGCGCGAGGGGCTGGCCCCGTGCTCCAGCAGCAGCCGCACGCAGGCCACATGCCCGAAGAGGATGGCATAGTGCAGGGGCGCCAGGTGGCCGTCCCAATCCTCGCAGTCCACCGCCACGAAGGGCTCCCGCACCAGGAGCCGGGCCTTCCGGTCGGCCAGGGCCCCGGCCGGGACCAGCATCCGCCGGGACTTGCTGCCGACCGCCGTGTCGCCATCCTCATCATCGGACTCCATGTTGGCCAGGAGCTGGATGTCGGCGTCCGAGTCGGCGTCCGAGTCGGCGTCCTCCTCGGCCGACTCGTAGTCCTCGTCGTCGCCGTCGTCGTCGTCGTCGTCGTCGTCGTCGTCATCGCCGCCGTCGTCGTCGGAGTTGGAGTCGGCGCCACTGGCGGCGGCGGTGGCGGCGGCGACCGCCGCCTCGGCCGGCTCGGTGTCCACCGGCGGCAGGGCCAGCTCCTCGCGAATGCGCCGGGCCTCCTGCAGCAGGAGGTACACCTCGCGATTGTACTCCAGCAAATCGGCCAGGATCTCCGGCCGGTCGTAGTGCGCGGCAAAGTGCAACGGCGTCCGGCCGTTGAAGGCCCGCTCCGAGAGGCTGGGCTGCACCAGCTCCGGGATGCGCAGCACCAGGCACGGGTCCAGCTCGGCCAGCAGGGCCGCCTCGGCCTCGGTCAGGCCGCCCGCGGCCGCGTCGCCATGGCGCAGGCGCAGCACCGAGGCCCGGAGCGCGCGCAGCCCGGTGGCCAGCAGCAGCTGCACCACCGGCCGCTGGTTGGCCAGCACCGCCAGGATGAGCGGCGTCCGGCCCAGCGAATCGCGCGCATCCAGCCGCAGGCCCACCAGGTCATCCAGACGCTGGGTCAGCTGGTCCAGGTCGGCCGTGGCGGCGGCCAGCCGCGCGCGTGCCTCGACCAGGGGCGCCGGCTCGGCCGGCTGGCCGGACGCCGCGGCCGCGGCCGCCGCCTCCAGCGACGACCCGGCGGCCAGGGCCGCCACGGCGGCCGACTCCGCCGCCAGGTCCGCCGCCTCGCCGGCCAGATCAATCCACTCGATCAGATCGTCATTGTCGAAGGAGGTGGCCGAGGCGGCCTTGGCCGCCGCGGCCGCGGCCTTCGTGGCAGCCACCTCGGCCGCGGCCGCCGCTGCCTGGTCATCCTCGACCGAGGGGGCGGCGGCGGCGGCGGTAGCGGCAGCCGCCTCGGCCGCCGCCGCCGCCGCCGCCGCCGCCGCCGAGGCACCGGGGCCGGTGCCGGCCTGCTGCTCCAGCGCGGCCACCGCCGCCTGGGCATCGGCCACCGCCTGGAGGGCCGCCTCCCGGGCGGAGGTCAGCTCCTGGCGCTCGCGCACCACCCGCTCCGACTCGATGTCCATGGCCTGCTGCACGAGGCCCAGGTCGCCACTGGTGGCGGCCATGGCCAGGAGGTTGGTGGACTCCTTGAGGAAGGCCGGCTCCAGCCAGTCGCCATCGGTGATGGGCCGGAAGGACCCGATCGACTGCCGGCCCGGGTCGTCGGCGATGAACCGCAGCGGCCCATGCACGAAGGAGGACTCCTCGACGTCGAAGTCCGCCGGGAAGGGCGGGCAGAAGCCGCAGCAGTCCCGCAGGACGGCCGACATGCGGCCCACAAAGCACGGGTGCGTGTGGTAGGACTTGGTCCGGTCGAACCAGGGGCTGTGCCCGGGGCGCCGGCGAGAGCAGCCCAGCAGGGGGGCGAGGGCAAATGGGCCGGCCGATTGTCAGTCAGGGAACCACCGACCCCCGGCGGGGAGCAGCGCCGCGCATCGCCCGGGCAACGCCCGGCCGAGGGGCAGGAAGAGGGGGGCGCGGCCGGGCGCGAACCCCGGCGAGGAGGCGCGCCCACAGACACACACACACACACACACACACGCACCTGTTGAGCATCTGGTCCTTCTCGCGCATGAGGCGCTGCACGCTGGAGGCCGTCCAATTGGGCCCCCACGGCAGGAAGACCGTGGCGTAGTCCGACATCTCGGTGACATCGGCCCCCAGAAGCCGGTCACGCAGGAAGGCATCGTTGCTGAGCTTGTACTCGATCTGCCGGCGGAGGTGGCCGCCAGCGCGGCCGGCCACCGTGCTCTCCGTGCCCAGGGCATCCTTGGAGTCGTTGCGCATGCGCCGGAGGCGCTGCTCATCGCGGTAGTGCTGGATGGCGGCCGGCAGGCGCAGGCGCTCCAGCAGGATCAGCCGGGCCAGGCCCTGGGTCTGGGCGAAGGAGCGCTCCAGGATCTGGGGATCCACCCGGTCCAAGTCGTAGTAGGGGGCCCGCACGGCGAAGCCACGGGCCGCATACTTGGACAGCCGGGTCTCGTAGGAGGGCGACCGCCGGGACATGTCGATGGTGTTGCGCTGGAAGACCAGCGCCGCGTGGGCACGCGGCACGGCATACACCTGCCGGCCGTCGAAGGCCACCCCGGAGCAGTCCACATCGAAGCCCATGAGCACCTCCGCCGGGGAGGCATACCGGCGCAGGACAATTTGGATGTGCCGGTAGGGGAACTGGCTGACGATGGACACGGCGTACTTCGACCGGAAGACCAGCGCCGCGTGCGGGATGGCATTCGAGATGGCCTCATACAGCTCCACCAGCTTGGCCCGGCCGGCCTCCTCGTCCAGGCCATAGATGAAGAGGTCGATGTCCGACGACCGGTACAGCAAATGGTGGTAGATGTACCGCTGGCGCTTGGGGGTGATGGCCTCCCCCGGGGGGGTGGGGTTGGCCCCGGTCAGGGTGCTGGTGGAGGAGTCATTCTGCTTGTCCACCTCGGCCCGGGCCACCTGGCCGAAGCCCACGTCCGCATCCTCGGCCATCAGCTGGCCGGAGGCCGACTCCGGGTCGAAGAGCGGCGCCAGGCAGGCCAGCACCGACCCGCCGGCGGCCACCACATTGTCCCAGTTCACATAGCGCAGGGACTCCTCCGTGAAGAGGTTCCAATTCTGGTGGAAGGCCTCCAGCGTCGGGGCCACGGCCAGCTGGCCGGCGGCCTTGCGGAAGCCCCGCTGCTCCGGCGTGTCCTGGAACATCATGCGGAAGGCCGGCTCGGTGCCGGGCCCCGGGCCCGGGACCGACGCCTCGTCCAGGTCGCGCACCGTCAGCGCCGCCGGGTCCTGCTCGTACAGCGGGATCATCAGCAGGTGCGGGTCCTGCAGGTCGGCATGGTCGCGGTGCTGGGCGAAGAGCTTGCGGAAGTGGTTCTCCCGGTTGACGACCGCCTGGGTGGCCGTGTGCGACAGGGTTGCGGGGGGGGGGGGGGTTAGCGTCGGGCTGTGCGCCATCGCGGCGTCAAGCGGGCGCAGAGGGCAGGACAGCGTGGCGAGGGAGAGGACGACGATGACGTACGGTCAGCTGGTCCAGGAGCTGCTCGCGATCCTGGGCGCCGGTGCCGAAGTCGGTCACCGACTGCAGGTACGAGGTGATCGTGGTGTCGACAGCCATGTTGCTTGTGCGTGTGCGTGTGCGTGTGCGTGTGCGTGTGCGTGTGCCAGACCCAGACAGCAGGAGGCTATGCTCGCGTTGTGGGGAGGAGATCGAAGGACAGGGGCTGCGTGCGACGCGTGTCTCGGTGTGTTTGGCTGCGTGTGTGTGTGTGTGTTTGTGCGGATCACGCTGAGGGCAGGTCGATCGGTCAAGGGAGTCTGCCGGACCCTGGCCAGGAGATGGCGCCCGAGGGGGCGGCTTAAATAGACGCCGGAGGCAAGCCCGGCCCACAGAGGGGGCGGACCCACGCCGGGACACCCGTTCGCGAAGCCCTTCCGCGCCGCTCGCATAGTGCCCCGGCTCCGGCAGCCTCCCTCGGCCGAGGTCCCGCGCAAGCTCCCGCCACCCGACCAAAGCCCAACATGCAGGCACAACCACCGGCCAGCCGGCCGACCGGAGGGGCGGGGGCGGGGGCGGGGGATCGGACGGGGCGAGAATGCCGGACTGTCCTGAAACCCGAAACCGAAGACAGAAACCGCCCAGCTGGCCCGCGCCCCCTCCCGGCCCGAAGAAAGAGATACACCACCGGGAATACTAATCCGGGAATAAAGCACGCCGGCCCAGACTTGAGCACGCCACAAGCCAGGCGCCTTTGCACAAGCGCCCGGGCCCCCTGACGCACACATACACACACGCGCACACGATACGCGCACACGATATGCGCACACGATGCGCGGCCACACCGATCCCGGGCCCACAACCAGGCAGAACGCCCGGCCTCGCTCTGACAAGTCACCCGGCGGGGATGCGCCGGAGCCTCCAGCCGGGCGGAGATGCGCCGGAGCCTCCAGCCGGGCGGAGATGCGCCGACGCCCCGCTGCCCGTCTCATCCCCCACCCAGGCGGAATGAAAAAAAGAAAGAAAAAAAGGCACACCGACATACCTACCCGCCCCCGCCCGAGGGGGCTCTTTGGGCATCCCGATTCGCCCTGCCACGCCGGACCATTATTGTGGTGCCCCCCCCCCGCCCCCCCCTCGCAGCCCATCCTGGCGCAGGCACACCAGCCGGCGGTCCGGCTGCTCGTGCGCTCTCGTCAGCCCGACCGGCCAGGGGAGCGGGGGCCGGGCGCCGGGACCGGCGCAGGGAGCGTGAGAAGCCACATCCCGGCCGCCGCAAAGTCCCGCGTGCGTGGGATCGCAGCGCCCGACACACGCCAAGCCACGGGCGCCACTTCCCATACGCAAAGCCACGTTTCGTTCGTGATCTATTCTCATGTGACAGGGAGGTGCCCATGGACAATGGCGTCCACCTGCCGGGGGCGGGCATCCTCGGGTCCCTCCCCCCTGCCCCCAGCCCAGACCGACCCGGAGGGGGGGGGGGGGGCGGGGACTGTCGCCCTGCCTGTTGCCTGGGCGCGCTGCACGCGGGGCTCTACTGGTCTTGCTCCTGCTCCTCCTCGTCGCTGGTGGCAAACAGCTCGTCAAAGAGCTCATCGTACTTCTGCTTCATGGCCTGGGCCTTGTCGGCCTCCGGGTCGGCGTAGAGCTTGGCCGCGCGGTCGACGAGTGACTCGCCTGCCGGAGTGCGCCGGGGACCGGCCGGCATCCCGCGCGGGGAGCAGGTCAGGAGGTTAGTCTCGCTGTGTGTGTGTGTGTGTGTGTGTGTGTGTGTGTGTGTGTGTGTGTCCACGCGACAGGGCCAGAAATGGACGAAGGCGGGGAGGACCCGGAGGAGGCAGCCAGAGACAGGCAGGCCGCGGGGGAGGGGGGGGGGGAAAAAAAAAGGGGGGCCAGCCTGTGCACGCACGTCCACGGGGAAGGGGGAGGCTGCCCTCCGGGCGCCAGAACCGCACAGTGGCATCCAGCCCGATGGAAATCAGCTCCGAGGTGAGGGGCGCCCCCTCGGGCCCGGGGAAGGGGAAAACCAAGCCGGACACCGCGTCGCCGTGGGCCTGGATCTGGAGCACCGGCCGCTTGGGGTCCTGCCAATGGCAAGGGGGCCAGGCCCGGCAGTCAGCATGGAGCATTGAAGCAGGATCATTCGCTCGGCCCTCGGCCGCCCCCCGCCGCCGAGCGGCGGGGAGGCCTTCGCGTACCTGGCGGTCCCAGAGGAAGATGCGCCCGCACTCGGACCCGACAGCGGCCAGCAGGGCACCATGCCCGCCGGTGGCGGACCCATGCCCGGCGGCAATGCACCGGAGCGAGTGCGACGACCGGGCCAAGATCGTGTGGTCCAGGATAACCGGGGGATTGGGGTCCTGGGGCTGCGCCGGCGACCGCGGGGGTCACACGGCCGAGGCCCGGAGCATGCGCGCGTGCCGGGGGGGCGGGGGACGTCAGAGGAGCCCGGGCAGGCATGAGGGCACGCCAGCCCGCGAGGCAGGGCCGCGCAACGTACATCCAGCGGCGCCAGGCAGGCCAGCTTTTGCGCCGACACGGCGCACTCCACCGAGGTGCCGTCCGCCAGCGAGAGCATGGCCAAGTGGGTGACATTGGTCTCGAAGCGCTGGGCCGAGGCCGTCGCGTGGGCCGGGCCATCGGCCACCCGGGCCACGCCATCGGCGTCGGCCACCACGCCCACGAAGGAGCCCCCCTCGTTGGGGGCCAGCGAAAACCGGTGAACCTGGCCGAGGGACGTGCCGACACTCAGGATGCCATTGGCGGCTGGGGGTCCGGCACGGGCAGCCGGGCAGCAGGGCAGCCGGGCAGCCGGGCAGCCGGGCAGCAGGGCAGCAGGGCAGCAGGGCAGCAGGGCAGCCGGGCAGCAGGGCAGCAGGGCAGCAGGGCAGCAGGGCAGCAGGGCAACAGGGCCGGTTAGCAAGCGCCAGACAGCCACCGCGGAAGAGGCCCGAGGGGCGATGCCAGTCAGATCGGCCAGAAGGACTCGCCCCGCTCCCAGGACGCACCATCAAAGGCCAGGCCTTCGAGCGAGCCGCGGCCGAAGCGGACCTGGAGAACCTCGCGCGCGGCCTGGATGCGCCCCTCGGGCCCGGGGACCAGGGCCCACGCGCGCAGGGCCCCATCCGTGCCGGAGCTCCAGATGACCGTGGGGCTGGCGCCGGCCGGCAGCAGGGCCCCCAGGGCCCCGGCCGGCAGGTCGGTCACGCAGACGGCCTTGACAAACTCGGTGTGCCCGCCGGGCAGGACGAGCCCCGGCCGGGGGGCGGCCGCGGCCGCGGCCGGGGCCGCGATCGACTGCAGCGCGGTGCCCAGCTGCGCCAGACACTCGCCGGTGGCCGGGTCCCACAGCCGGACCGTCCGGTCCCAGGAGGCCGATGCCAGCAGCGGCCCCGCGCGGGCGGCCGTCCCATCCGGCGCCCGCAGGACGAAGTGCGCCAGCCCGGTGACCGGCCCGGTGTGCCCGACCAGGGCACTGGCCGGGTCATCCAGGCGCATGGTCTGCGTGCGGGCGTGTGCGTGTGCATGTGCGGGGGGGGAGGGGGTTGCCGGGCGGGCCAGGTGGCGGGGTCGACCACGCGCGAGGGGCAGCCGCGTGGCGAGGTTGCGCCAGGTGCCGGCCGGAGGCCCGGCCGCGGCGACCGAAGGAGGCGGGGAGGGAGGTGAGGGGAAGAGAGGGCGGGGGGGGGGGGGGAAGGAAAAAGAGGGCGACCGCCAGAGCCAGGCAACGCACCGTCAGATCCAGACGGACAATGGTGCAATCGGCCAGGCCGAGGAAGAGCGCCCCGGCTGGGCCCGCGGCCAGAGCCAGGGCCAGGGGCTTGGCCGCCAGGCGCACAGGGTGGCCCTCATTCCGGGCGGAGATCTGCCCGTGCGCGTGTGCGGGGGAGGTTAGTGGGCGGGTGGCACGCGCGCGCGCGCGCCGGGGAGCCTGGAACACTCTGCCGGGCTACGGGAACCCTGGGGGGCGAACCTCACGCTTGCGGTCCGACGCCGCGAGCGCCCGATCCGACATGAAGTAGCGCTCTTCATCGGGGATGTGCGCGGCCCACTCCGAGGCGGGGGTAGTCATGGCGAGGCGGCGTGTGGCAGGGG